CGATGCCTCGGGGCCGCCGTGGGATTACACCAGCTGGGCAGCAGCCCAGACGTGACTGGCCAGGGGCTGGGCGCAGCGTGCGCGCTGCTGGGTCCCTGCAACAGGCCCGGGCCCCGGGAGGTTCGGGCCTGGGTGCCAGAGCCGCAGCCGCTGAGCACCATGGCCACTTCCTCCGGCCGTGGCAGTAGGAGCTGCAGCAGCGGCTGCTCCCAAGTCCGCCGCCCAGGTGGGGGGGAACAGCCGCCGCCTGGCCCCGCGGGCCGCCTCACTACTCTACCTCCAGGTACCACCCGACTGAGTCTGCCTGCGCTCGGGGCCAGGCCAGACTCTCACTCACCCCGGCCCCGCGCTCCCCCTGCGTCTCTGGGGCCTCCCTCCAGTGCTTGTGGAGGGAGGAGGAATGGCGTGCTTGGGGAAGAGGCGGGGATTTGGGGAGGGAGCCAATGGGGGAAGGAGGGAGTGGAGTCGGGGCGAGGGGGGCACGAGCCCTTCCAGGCTCCGGAGCCTTTGCTTGTTTGTCCAGTGTCCCGACCTAACATTGGTCGGGACACGGGACAAACAAGCAAATATCGGGACAGTCCCGATAAAATTGGGACATCTGGTCACCCTAGCTACAGCCCACTTCATCGGATGCATGAACTCCTGTTCTTTTAACTAAAACGTTGGCATTTCACTTACTGTGCAGGAAAGTGGCAGTAACCAGTGGTGGTCTGGTGGTCAGCAGTATTTATCTTCGGGGCGTTTCTGAGCTGTAATGTGCTTCGGCTGACAAGAAATGTATTAAATTAATCCCAATAGAAAGATTTTAAACATGCTCTTAGACAGTCGTCTCTGCTTTGGTAACTGCAATTCCTGGATGTCAGGACTAAGCAGGGACTGACTTTTCTTCTGTGTGCTTTGCAGCTGCTCCTGACCATGCTGCCAAACTGCAGCGACTTGCTCAAATCCACATCCAGCAGCAGGTAGAGTGAATACTCATCATGGTTAACCTTCAGTGGCAGGGATGGGGCCTCTCGTTAACCGTAGGTAATTTGTGGGCAAGGCTGGAGTAATTAGTAGCACAGACTAGAGCCACTCTAGTTAAGATTATCAGTATTTCTTCTTTCCATTACGTTGTTTTCAGTTTGTCCAGATCATGGGATTTCCAGGAGGCAGAAGAGATCTCTGCTCAGGAACATCTCCGTGTACAAATAGCTTTGGGTGGCTTTTTAAAAACCACAGTGGGGATACTAACGCCTAACTGCTAATTCCCCCAATACTAGGCTGAGATCCCGACAGCATGGCAAGGCAATGTGGCCTCCCTCCAACACAAAGGGGGAGAGACGACCACCTCACCTGACTACAGTTCCCTTCCCAGTTTAGGTGGGTGGGAATCTGAAAATCAGTTCACATAAAATAAGCAGCTCGATTTCCAGCACTGGGTAAAGGGCCTCCCTCAAGGCCTAATCCATTGAGCATATTGTATCTGATTCCAGGGAGAGGAAGGAGCATCTGCCCTGCCTTCCCTGAGAAGTCTTCACTGAGGCTGTGTTAGTGGTTAAAAGAACAGGAGTACTTGTGGCACCTTAGAGACTAACAAATTTATTAGAGCATAAGCTTTCGTGGGCTACAGCCCACTTCTTCGGATGCATATAGAATGGAATATATATTGAGGAGATATATATACACACATACAGAGAGCATAAACAGGTGGGAGTTGTCTTACCAACTCTGAGAGGCCAATTAATTAAGAGAAAAAAAACTTTTGAACTGATAATCAAGATAGCCCAGTACAGACAGTTTGATCTTTTGAAGTGATAATCAAGATAGCCCAGTACAGACAGCCCAGTACAGACAGTTTGAATCAAACTGTCTGTACTGGGCTATCTTGATTATCACTTCAAAAGTTTTTTTTCTCTTAATTAATTGGCCTCTCAGAGTTGGTAAGACAACTCCCACCTGTTTATGCTCTCTGTATGTGTGTATATATATCTCCTCAATATATATTCCATTCTATATGCATCCGAAGAAGTGGGCTGTAGCCCACGAAAGCTTATGCTCTAATAAATTTGTTAGTCTCTAAGGTGCCACAAGTACTCCTGTTCTTTTTGCGGATATAGACTAACACGGCTGCTACTCTGAAACCTGTTAGTGGTTAGTATATTTGGTTGCTTTTCTCTGACAGAAACTGATAGAGCTGTTCCAAACAGAGCTGAAGTCACTGCAGTAAGAAGGATTTCTTGATGATGAATTGATTCCCTACTTCAGTGGAGTTGTCACTGCAACGCTCTGGCTAAATGTGCATGATTGGGTCTCCTTCTGGTAGCTGGTCCACTTGGAGGATTAGAGCTGGCTTACTCCGCTAATAGAGAAACTCCTTTTACTGAAGCAGTACAGGGGCTCTTGCAGCTGAAGGTCCTGGGTTCTATCCCTAGCAATGACAGTGGTGTCCACACACATACAGCCTCAGGTTAACCACAGCACTCCCAGTGCATGGTGTAGATACATTTTTGATAATTTTTATATGACTTTACATTGTGCCTTTTTATATAACCTTGTGGTGGGTCTACCCACGTGTGACCTTTGTTTTTATGGGACTTTGTATTAAAGCCTCATTTAGAAACTTTGCATTGCCCTTGGTATAATATTATAGCCCCTAAGGATAGAATAAGATTAAAAAAAAAAATCTTTTTGCTAGGAGTAAAACAAAAGCTCTCCCCCCCCCCCCCCCTTAATCAATTGCCCTGTTAAATAAATAAGGTGTAAATAAGCAAGGCATAAAAGGCAGCACCTCCAAACAGCCTCAACTGTTAAAAAGGGGCTAAAAGCCAAACCCCAAAACAATAAAACGTGTCAAGTGGGCTCATTAAAGCAAACATATCAATGGCCTCGGGGGGGGGTTAAAAGCCAGCACCTTCTTTTAAAAACACCCTCTTTGCAGCATTAAAACAACACTCAAAAGAAAGCAGCACAAAAAAACAATAAACACAAACACAAAGTTTAAATCTGGTATAAATTTGCATAAAAAAAAAGCTGCTATAAAAGTAAGGTGTCTTGCAAAAAACCCCGGGTCTCGTCTTGTCAACATAAAAGCATCAATCCGGATCGGCAAAAGCCCGGCTCCACCCCCTCCCCCATCTAACTCACCTGGCCAGTAAAGTTAAAAAAAGCAACTAATTGGTAACAACAAAACAAAGTGTGTGTGTGTGAGTGTAAGTGTAATATATTATATGCATATAATACAGTGTTAATGAATACATGTATTACTAATAAATGTGGCGTTTTGCCTTATTCCCCCTGAAAAAATCCTGTGCAGTACTTTAAGTACAACAATGGTTGCAGCAGGGGTCCCAGGCACACCAGAGGTGGCCTGACAACTGGTACCAAGGAAAACTCATTCTCCTAAAAACAGACACGAGGGGGCAAGCTTGTCCATCCAAACAGAAAAGAGAGGCACAGGCGTATTTGCAGTCTCTTGTTTTCTTTGAATGCTCAGTGGTGTCTAATATCTGGGTTTTCCACATTTTCAAGGCAGTCACAGAGTTTATTACAAGCAGCAAGTCCAAGATAATAGAACACTGGATGTATTGACATCTGCACGCAGACAGCAGGTCCGTGTTTGATGGCCTGCTGCACACAGCTAAAGAAATCCTGGAGAAGAGCTACACCCCAGGAGAGATGTAAGAGGCTGGAATTGTATAATTAGACCTTTCTGTAGCTCTCTTCATTCCCGCACGCTGCTTCCTGCCGTATCCTTCCTAGCCAATGAGGTCCTGTCACTGCTTGCTATGGGCCTTTACAGATGGGATTTTCAAAAGCACTCCGCGCTGCCTGACACTGCCGCCATGGAAGTCAGGGGAGATTGACCGTAGACTTCGCTGGGAGCAGTTGCACTAGTGCAGAGCACTTTTTTGAAAATCTCACCCTAGGAGCTTTCTCACTGCTGTGCCCTGACAGGATCTGAACACTCTTAACATCACCAGGTGGATGGCACTAGACCAAGGAAATTGTTTAGGTTTTTACTTCTTCCCGGAAATGTATAATCGGAGTTCCAGAGTCCTGAAACAGTTGGTCCCAAATTACATCTAGAGGCCTGAGGTGTCCCTTACAGGATAGCAAGCATAATTACAGAGGCAGTGTGGTGGAGTGAATAAGGCATTGGATTGAGAGTCCGGAAAGCTGGGTTGTATCCCTGACCCTGCCACTGACTTGCTTTGTGACTGTGGGTATGTCACTTAACCTCTTTATGCATTTATGGTTCCATTTGTACAACTGAGATTACAATACTTCATAAAGAAAGTGAAGTGTTTGGAAATCCTTGGATGGAAACACTGTATAAGTACACCTTATAAGACTAAGGGTGAGTGGGCTTTGGTTTTTAAACTTAACCCTCTCTTCCCATCATGGAAACTTGATCATTTGGATTCCTTAGCCTTGAAAGACCGATGTTCCCTCTCTTTTTTTACATCCATGTGCAGAATGAATTTTGTTATGTGATGGAGGTGATGTGTGGCGGGAGTGGGGCCGAGGGGTTTAGAGGGTGGGAGGGAGCTCCGGGTTGGGGTGTGGGCCCTCCCACTTGAATTCAAGTGCTTTGCCTGAGAGGTGCTGAGTCGGCATACTTTGATTATGGAGAGTGGGATATTTTTCACAAGCAGTCCTCATTGGCTTAACTCTGCTCCCACTGAAGTTCTCCCATTGACCCCAGTGGAGGGGAGGTCAGCAAACACCAAGTGCTTCTGGCAATCACACCCAGAAACTTTAATCCTTCCTCAAATGCAGGTTTACTGACACAAATGGGAGTAATGGAATAAATTGTCATTTGAAAAGAACTTTGTCATACCTCCAACACGGAAGCTGATTATTTAAAAAAAAAATAAATAACCCACACACACACATAATAACCCACTGGTGTTCGCTTTTTAAGTCTTTAAAGAGAGCTGTATAGAAGTTTATAATATTTGCTGTTACTTTAAACTAGCTTATCCTACCAAATCTTTCTTCTTTTTGAAAACACAACTGCTATCACCTGCTCTTCCTAATGCAGCTACATTTTATCAAAGGTTCTCTGTTAACAGTTTGCTTGATTGGGCATTTGTACTTTCGATGTCATGTGCTCGGGGACAGAGCATTGCTGGCGTAAAACCAGCAGAGGGAGCTACGTTATTTTTCAGGGTAGTGTAAAGGTTTTTCCTACAGATGGTCAAAACATTTCATACTTCAAAATTTGGAAGGCCTTTTTTCCCTGAAATTTTGACAAATAGGAATAAAATTGTGCATAAATTCTGTTTTTTCGCTCTCCCTCCCCCCCAACCATCCTCCCCAAAAGAGTTTTTTACTGGCTTGTTTTTATACCAGACTTGTGTGCATTTGGTCCATGATGATGTACGGAATTTTGCTTGATTATTCATTAGAAATCGTTAAGATAGAGTATATTCCCAACCACATTTAAGGGAGCACAGATTTTTGTGCTCGCACTATTTGATATTGTTTTATATAGTTGAAAACTTTGCTTCAGAAGCACCCATTTAAATGACACACACTAGGCTACAAGCTAAGCTCCCCCCAAGCTGCGCGGCTGCTCAGCAGGCTATGAAGGGCTGCATAGGTGCACAGCCATGGGGCCCTGGAGAGGACAGAGGTGGGGGTGGGTGGGGAGCAAGTTGGGGTGTGCAGGGCTGCAGTGGGGACAGGCGCCTCTCTCCCCACCACAGCCCTGGGGCAGCCTGCACCCCAAACCCCTCATCTCTGGCTTCACCCCAGAGCCCTCACCCACCCCAAACCCCTCATCCCAGAGCCCTCACACCCTGCACCCCAAGCACCCTCCCACACTCCAAACCCCTCATCCCCAGAGCCTGCACCCCAACCCTCTGCCCTAGCCCTGAGCCCCCTTGTTAGCCCCTCATCCCTGGTGCCATCCCAGAGCCTGCACCCCCAGCCAGAGCACTCCCCCCTCCCCCCACATCCCAACCCTCTGCCCCAGCCCTGGGCCCCTTCCCACACTCCGAACCCCTCGGCCCCACCACAGCCACACATCTCCATATTGGTGCACATAACAAAATTCATTCTGCACATGGATGTAAAAAATGAGGGCACATTGGTAAAGCTACTGATTGCATTCTGCTCTTCTATACCGTTACAAAGCTCAGTCTAGTTACTTCTCCTTACTGACTGTGTTCAGACAGGATGTCAGGGATATAACCCAAGTCAGCAGAATCCCGGTCCTCTCCCCGACCACTTCACCATGATGTCGCCGGTAATGTTATAACTTATCCGAAGTATCTTTTCCTCTGCACTGATTGACGCCCTTGTCCAAAGGTGAATGCTGAGATCTTGATTTTCCTTACAAGGGTGTGACATAAACCCACTCTGTATTTTTAGCCACCACCCAGATACTGGATTCTATGATGAGTGGTTACCAAAAACCAATTTAATCAAATACAGGGTCCTTCTAATTTCAAGAGATCAGCCACTTAGCCAGGTCAATATATAACTCAGATCTTATCCAATAATCACAGTGATGTTAATCCTTGAGTAACTAAAAACAGACACACACACAAGTCCTCATATCAGGTTTGTAGCAGTGATGGAATAACCTGCTCGCCTGTGAAGTCTCTGATAACGTCCAAAAGATTGGAAGCTCTTCAGTCCATAGTTCAAAATGCTCCTTTTACTTGTAAATCCACCGTCCAGAGAATCAGGGCAGGAAACAGATAAAATGGAGATAGCTCAGGGGTCTTTTATATCCTTTGCCACAAGCCTGGAAATGTACTGTCTCTGCTTGTGGAAAGGTACTGGCCTAAGATGGAGTCCAGGGTCACATGAGCATAACACATGTCCTTGCATAGCTTGATGACTCTCAGGGGGTAGCCATTGCCCATATTCTTGCTGAGGTGTCCACATGCCATGCATCTGAAGAAGTGAGGTTTTTTTACCCACGAAAGCTTATGCCCAAATAGACTCATAGACTTTAAGGTCAGAAGGGACCATTATGATCATCTAGTCTGACCTCCTGCATGATGCGGGCCACAAAAGCGACCCACCCACTGTCCCTTAACTCAGCTGTTGAAGTCCCCAGATCGTGATTTAAAGACTTCAAGTCGCAGAGAATCCTCCAGCTAGCGTCCCCTGCCCCACGCTGCAGAGGAAGGTGAAAAACCTCCAGGGCCTCTGCCAATCTACCCTGGAGGAAAATTCCTTCCCGACCCCAAATATGGCGATCAGCTGAACCCCGAGCATGCGGGCAAGATCGTCCAGCCAGACCCTCATTGACCATTGATACTATTTACCAGCGATGGCACGTTATTGACTAATTGACTAAAATCCCGTTATCCCATCAAACCATTCCCTCCATAAACTTATAAATAAATTCGTTTAGTATTTAAGGTGTCACCGGACTCCTTGTTGTTTTTGTAATTACCTGTACTGAAAGTTCACTAGGACACTGGAGGACAGATAAGTACACGCACAAAAGAAATGCTTTAGGATCTTCAGCGACCACAAATGGTTTAACGTCTTGTCCGAGAGACAGCCCCTCCAGCAGTACAGCACCAGAGATGGAGAGTGGATCAGTGTTGAATCAGAGAGGAATTCCTCTTAGGGTACATCTGCATTGAAAAACAAAACAAAAACTACAGTGAATCTCAGAGCCTGGGTGTGACAGGTACAACCTGGAACCGAAGTACCACTGAACCTTCTGTCCCATCAGTCTGGACTTCCTTTCACACTGAGATGTTGTGACAAGCTGCAAACCTACTGCACTCACACAAACATCCACAGGCTGGGACACACCCAGCTGTGTTACATGAATGCTTTTGCCAGCCACTCATGAACCAACAATAGAGAGGCTCCAGCCAGTTCCCCTAGCTCCCCAGTCTTGCACCCCTGAATTGTACTTCTTACCCTGGTTCAAAGCCAGACCAGTGTAAGTTAATTACCCAATCTTCCCCTCCCTCAATGGGGAAAGGACGTGCATAAGTTTTTGTTAACTGAGCTAAGATTTTTTTCCATGCACTTCACTCAAGCCCCACTGTTTTAGGTAAAATATAAAACTGCTGTATTAACTACAGCAAGGTAGAGTAGTGATTATAAGTAACAAGTGTACAGATCGAAGTAGGTTATACCTTAGAAATAGAATTGCAATCTGAGTTCTCCAGAATCCGAGAACTGGAAGTGCCATCCAGTCCGGTCCCCTGCACTCAAGGCAAGACTAAGTATTATCTAGACCAGGGGTTCTCAAACTGGGGGTCAGGACCCCTCAGGGGGTCGTGAGCTGTCAGCCTCCACCCCAAGCCCCGCTTTGCCTCCAGCATTTATAATGATGTTAAATATATTTAAACGTGTTTTAATTTATAACGGGGGTCGCACTCAGAGGCTTGCTGTGTGAAAGGGGTCACCAGTACAAAAGTTTGAGAACCCCTGATCTAGACCATCCCTGCCAGGTGTTTGTCCAACCTGCTCTTAAAAACCTCCAGTAATGGAGATTCCACCACCTCCCTAGGCAATTTATTCCAGTGCTTATCCACCCTGACAGGAAGTTTTTCCTAATGTCCAACCTAAACTGCCCTTGCTGCAATCTAAGACCATTGCTTCTTGTCCTATCCTGAGAGGTTAAGAAAAATATTTTTTTCTTCCTCTTCCTTGTAACAACTTTTTACATACTTGAAAATTGGTATCATGTCCCCTCTGTCTTCTCTTTTCCAGACTAAACAAACCCAATTTTTTCAATCTTCCCTCATAGGACATGTTTTCTAGACATTTCAACATATTTGTCATTTTTCTCTCTGGACTCTCTCCAATTTGTCCACATCCTTCCTGAAATGTGGTGCCCAGAACTGGACACAATATTCCAGTTGAGGCCTTATCAGCACGGAGCAGAGCGGAAGAATTACTTCTCCTGTCTTGCTTACAACACTCCTGCTAATACATCCCAGAATGATGTTTGCTTTCTTTTGCAACAGTGTTACACTGTTGACTCATATTTAGCTTGTGATCCACTATGACCCCCAGATCCCTTTCCACGGTACTCCTTCCTAGCCAGTCATTTCCCATTTGTGTGTGTGTGTGCAAGTGATTCTTCCTTCCTAAGTGGAATACTTTGCATTTGTCCTTATTGAATTTCATCCTATTTACTTCAGACCATTTCTCCAGTTTGTCCAGATCAGTTTGAATTTTAATCCTACTCTCCAAAGCACTTGCAACCCCTCTCAGCTTGGTATCGTCCACAAACTTTATAAGTGTACTCTGTATGCCATTATCTAAATCATTGATGAAGATACTGAACAGAACCAGACCCAGAACTGATCCCTGTGAGACCCACTCGTTATGCCCTTCCAGCATGACTGTGAACCACTGATAACTACTCTCTGGGAACAGTTTTCCAACTAGTTTTGCGCCCACCTTATAGTAGCTCCATCTAGGTCATATTTTCCTAGTTTGTTTATGAGAAGGTCACTCAAGACAGCATCAAAAGCCTTACTAACGTCAAGATATACCACATCTACCACTTCCCCCCATCCACAAGGCTTGTTACCCTGTCACAGAAAGCTCTCAGGTTGGTTTGACACGATTTGTTCTTGACAAATCCATACTGATTGTTACTTATCACCTTACTATCTTCTAGATGTTTGCAAATTGACTGCTTCATTATTTGCTCCATTATCTTTCCTGGTACAGATGTTAAGCTGACTGGTCTGTAATTCCCCGCATGGGCGGCAAGTCCTATGGGCCCGTGGTGCCTGGGCACCAGGAATATTCCTGGCCCGGGACCCGGCTCCAGCAATGTTTGGGGTCGGGTCTCTCCCTCGGCCCCGCCTTCCGCTCCCGGGCCATTTAAAACAGCCCAGGGCCCCCACTTACCACCGGCAGCGCAGTGGAGCTGAGCGACTTCCTCCCTGCTCGCTCCACGCGGCTGCTGGCCCTTTCCTGCAGCCCCTGGGCGGGATGGGTCTGTGTCCGCCCCAAGCTCCCCTGCGGCCAGTAGGAAGCTGCAGGAGCAGTGCCTGGGGATAGCAGCACACGGAGACTCCCGGCCTGCCCTTCCTAGGAGCCCCAGGTAAGCTCTGCACCCCGCCCCTCCCAGAGCCTACCCCGCCCCTCCCTCCACCCCCCCATCCCCAAACTCCCTCCCAGAGCCAGCACCCAAACTCTGTCCCAGAGCCTGCACCCCTCACCCCCTCCTGCACACCCACCCCTTGTCCAAGCCCAGAGCCTACACCCAAACTCCATCCCAGAGCCTGCGCCTTCACCCCCTGTCACGTTATTGACTTGAACTGGGACCATATAGAACATGGTTGCAACCATAGTCCTGTAGTGGCACCAAATCTTGTATAAAGGGGGTCAAATGGGGTGTCTAAGACAAGGTTATGGTTTGCTGGTTATGATTATGCTGTCTGTATCTGAGTATCAGTTTTGTAGTCGAAGTTATGAATATTGGCTCTATACTGTCTGTATGGCAAACTTATGCTATGCTTCTGGGTGACACCCCAGACAAGTTGGTGTTAGCTCTGCCTAGCCTGCTTGATGGTTCATTAAGGACCATCAGCTATACCATGGACCCATTGAGAGAAGGCAGATACGCCTTGTAACTCAGCAAAGTATACAGGGACTTGCCCATGTGACTCCAAACTCCATTTTGCTGTAATTTTCCACAGTGAGAACAAAGAGGTGTTCTTACACCTGGAAAAGACTATAAAAGGCTGATGCCTCATCTCCATCTTGTCTTCAGTCC